TGCTTCAGCATTTTCTATGTTTTTGTCTCTACTTTTTTTCTTGAGCCACTATTGGAAATGGTATAAATTGGTAAAGTGTTCTTGGTATACAGTGGGATAACTTTTTTTTAATTATTATTACATATTAAATGGTGCTGCAATGTTAAGATTTTTTTATTTTGTCTCACACTGTGGCACATGAGACGTCTGACATTTAGTTCGTATACTTTCTTTTATAAATTGTAATACTTTTTGATAATGCCATGTAAATTATTCAATATTTGTAAAAAAAATCATGAAAACTTATGAAATAAATCTGCTGCATTTAGAATTATGTTCCATTATTATTATATGTCATAACAATTTATTTGATTAGTACACTACAACTACAATTTCATTTAAAGTCTGTAAAACAAAAAGGAACAAAAAGATCATACAGAAGTTGCAACCAAAATTATTGCAATAAGAAAGGAAAAATGATTGAGAATAACTCTTCTATTTAAATGTAAAGAATAAAGAGTCCTCAATAGGGAAAAAAGCTCAACAGATTCTAGGTGTTAAAATCTTTTATTACTTCACATAAAAGCCGTGTGGTTATTTCTGCCATAAATTAATTTTATAATAAACACAAAGATCTCTTCAGGCTGGTGTGTTGATTTTTAAGCAAGGCCTCTTGCACCAGTGTTTTTCAGTAGAGGCAGAAGAAAATCCCTTTTCAGTGCTTTGATTACTTAGTCAAATTGGCTGTTGAGTTACCCTCTCCTACTTATCCAGCCCCATTCTTTTTAAACATCTATATGGAACTGTTGAGAGATTTCCAAAGCTATGAAATGCAGTGTTGTCAGTATCCTAATGACACTGAGCTCCAGTCTGAGCGCTATGGTAAATTCCTTGAAAAAGTTTCTGGGTACAGGTGTGTGGCCAGATGACAGTAACTATAATGAAACTGAATCCAGACAAGACATGAGTGGATGTTACATGATCCCAAGAACAAGGGATAATAGTTTCACTTGTTATATATGTGAATCATGCTATCCTGCAAGGGCAGGGTTTACAAAAAAAATTTCTTGACCCTGCTTTGTTGCTAGGTCCACAAGCAGAAACAGAGTCCTTTTAAATCAGTTTAGACTGATATGTCATCTGCAGTCGCATCCAGCCACTGTTGTGCTAATCTTCTGATTTGATCACTGCAACGTGTTCTGGATAGGGCTGTGATCATTCAGACTGCAGATTCAATTAGTGCCAAAATACTGTTGCATTTATTAACTAGGATATGCTTCAGGAAATGTATTTCTACCTGCAACAGCCCAGTTTTAGCAGTTGATGCTTATTTTTAAAGTGCTGAAGAGCTTGAGTCCTGCATAACTTAAGGAGTATCTCCTTTTTGAGCTCTTGGTTTGTGATCCCTTCTTTTAATGATGTGAAAGAAGAAGAAGAGATTGGATATATACCCCACCCTTCACTCGAAGTCTCAGAGTGGCTTACAAACTCCTTTCCCTTCCCCTTCCCACAACAGACATCCTGTGAGGTAGGTGGGGCTGAGAGCTCTTTCCAGAACTGTCCTTGAGAGAACAGCTCTGACAGAACTATGGCTTCCTGAAGGTCATCCAGCAGCTGCCGATGGAGGAGTGGGGAATCAAACACGGTTCTCCCAGATTAGAGTCCACGCACTTAACCACTACACCAAACTGGCACTTAACCGCTACACCAAAATAGTCTTTGTATTTAGCCTCGTGGAAGAGAATATCTGCTGTACCTACATATAAAAGGTATATTTAACTCTGTGATTGAAAGTGATAGCTGGATACATTGTATTATGCTTGGCATTATACCCAACCAGATAAGAACCAGAGGGGTAAGGAGCTACATTATGCTCTTTGGCAGGAGTACCTAATCCTGTGGGTGCTTCTGGAATGTTGAGGACAGGGAAAGGGCTCCATCACAAAGTGGCTGCAATGAAAGGCCATGGCCAATCACAGAAAGGCTGGCATCACAAATTTTGGGAGGTGGTAAGCAAAGCATCCTCCTGTGATGGCAGCAGCAGTTGCTAGGTGGGGGTTCCTTCCAGACACAAAGGTGAGGCTTTCTGTATTCTTCTGAAGCTCCTCCTACTCTGATGAGGTGAGCGACAGCCAGGACAGGCTTGGGGCGGGGGAAGCAAATGGTCATCAGGAAATCCATCAGCGGCTGCCATGGTGCCCAAGGTTGCCATATTGCAAATCATTAGCCTATGGAGTTCTCATCTACTTCTCTCAGCAGCATGTGTGAGGAAAGGATGGCTCATATCTTTAATCCATTTTCTAAGGGCTCAGAGATAACTACCTTAAGAAAATAAATCCTGCTGGATTAGATCATCTAGTCAGCATCCACAGTTTTACCCAGTGGCTAACCAGTTGCCTTGGAAAACCAAGAAACAGCACAGATGCAAAGCCCTCCCTGGTGTTGCCTCCTAGCCCTAAAAGTCAGAGGTTTACTGCCTCTTAATATGCAGGATTCCTTGCCATTGGCTAGTAGCCATAAGGGGATGTCTCCTCCATGAATCTGTCTGACCCTCTTTAAAGCCATCTGTGCTGATGGCTATCATTACACACACACTGGCAACAAATTCCACAATTTAATTACTTGTTAAATGTCTGCCTGTACCTATGGCCAATCAACTACATTGTGTGCCCCTGAGTTCTGCTATTATGGGGAGGAAAAGATCTCTCTAAACCTCTATATCATGTCATCACAGCCATTGTTTCCCAGTTTATCCTTTACTCATAGGAAAGGTGCTCCAACCCCTTGATCATCTTGGTTGCCTTCTTCTGTTTTCTAGCTCTAATATCCTTATTGAGATACAGCAACCAAACTGCACAGTATTCGAAACATGGCTGCACCATAGCTATGTATCAGGTCATTACAATATTTGCTGTTTTATTCTCAGTTCCTTTCCTAATTATCCCCACTTTCACTGAGTTTTATCAAGCTATCCAGTATATCCTCAAGATCTCTTTCAATCTTGGTCTCAATGAGTTCTAAATCCTAACAGTGTATATTTAAAGTAACCCCCCATATGCATCATGTTACACTTAGCAGCATTGAACTTCATTTTCCATGTTGTTGCCCACTCACCCAAGTTAGATAGATCCCCCTGTAGCTCTTCACAGTGCTCTTGGTTTTTTACCATCCTGAACAATTTGGTATCATTTGGCCACTACACTGCTCACCCCCAATAGCGCTGGTCCCAAGACCAATCCTTGTGGGAGCCAGTTGCTTGCTTCCCTTCACTGCAAGAACTGCCCATTCCTACTTTCTCCTTCATGCTGTTTAACCTATTTTTAATCCATAAGCAGACCTTTCCTTTTATCACCTGATTGCTAAGCTAACTCAGGAGTCATCAAAAGCCTGCTGGACTTTGTGAGAGATGTAAATGTGATCGCACCAATTGGGAACAGTGACTTTAATGCTATTAAGTTAAAGATTTATGTAAATAGGGAGTTGCCCCAAAAGACCAACACAACCACATTTAACTTTAGAAGGGATAACTTCTCTCAAATGAGGGGGCTTGTGAAGAAGAAACTAAAAGAAAAGGTAAGGAGGGTCAAATCCTTTCAGGAAGCTTGGGAACTATTTAAAACTACCCTGTTTCCCCAAAAATAAGACCTACCCCCAAAATAAGCCCTAGCAGGATTTCTATGCATTTGTGGTATAAGCCCTAGTGTGTCTTCTTGAGAAAAAATAAATATAAGACAGTGTCTTATTTTCGGGAAAACACGGTACAATCCTAGAAGCTCAGATAAAATGTATACCACAGGTTAGGAAAGGTAAAAATATGTATACAAAAGGCCTGTGTGGTTAACGAACAAAGTAATGGAAGCAGTAAAAAGTAAGAAGGATTCCTTTAAGTGGTGGAAGGCTAGTCCGTGTGAGGTGAATAAAAGGGAGCACAGGCTTTGGCAAATAAAATACAAGTTGGTGATCAGATAGGCAAAAAGGGACTATGAGGAACATATTGCAAAAACCAACAACAATATTTCCCCCCCAAATACATTAGTAGCAGGAAATCAGCCAGTATCATAATGCCCCTGTATAAATCTATGGTGTGGCCTCATTTGAAATACTGTGTACTGTTCTGGTCACCACACCTCAAAAAAAGATATAGCATTGGAAAGGGTGCAAATAAGGGCAACTAAAATGCTTAAGGGGATGGAACACTTTTCCTATGAAGAAAGGTTAAAGAAACTAGGGCTCTAGCTTGGAGAAATGACAACTGAGGGGTGACATGATAAAGGTTTGCAAAATTATGTATGGGATACAGAAGGTACAGAAAGAAGTACTTTTCTCCCTTTTTCACAATCCAGGAACTCATGGGCACTCAATGAAATTGATGAGCAGTAGGTATCGAACAGATAAAAGGAAGAACTTCTTCACTCAAAGAGTAATTAACACGTAGAATTCACAGCCACAGGAAGTGGTGGCAGCTACAAGCACGGACAGCTTCAAGAGATTTGGATAAACATATGGAGCAGAGGTCCATCAGTGGCTATTAGCCACAAGGTATAGATGAAACACTATGTCAGAGGCAGTGATGTGATGTATTGGTGCTTGGGGGGCCGCAGTGGGAGGGCTTCTGGAGTTCTGGCCCCACTGGTGGACCTCCTGACAACACCTGGGTTTTGGCCACTATGTGACAAAGAGTGTTGGACTGGATGGGCCACTGGCCTGATCCAGCACAGCTTATGTTCTTATGTCTCATTGTAGACATGGGCAGGGAAACCCCAGCACACGTGCCGAATAGTGGCCCACCAGACCATTTTGCTCCATGCAGAGGGCTGGTTCTCTGCCCTAAAGACCACTCCAAACCCTGCTTGGCTTCTGAGATCTGACACAACAGGGCTAGCCTGCATTATCCAGGTCAGGGCCTGCCTAGTAGAGCATCCTGTTTTCTTCCAGTGGTGAACCATGAGTTCAATAAATAACAGTTTTGCTGATCCTTTTGCCACCTATAATTACCTACTTCTCAGTGCTCAAATATGTTGCAAAGATGGTCAGAAAATGTGCAGTATATGTAGTTGTTTATTGACAGACGCGACTATATTCTTGACAAGTAGAATCAACGTCAGCGACTGACAAGTAAAGCTTCCCATCTGGGCAAACACAGACCTCATAGAGTTCTTGAGAGCTGCCAGGTTCTTCGTCGTTTGTTCCTTCAGGCAACTGGGGCAGTCGCACAGTCTGAGCATCAAGTATAAGCTGCATGGAAGAAAAGCATGTACACAAAAATTGATTTGTGTACACAGCAGTAACTCAGATGCAACGTTTTAAAAACTGTCAGGTATGTGCCAGACATGTCTTTTTGAACCAATTTCAGCCTGAAGCAGAAGGAATGCCAATCAAGCAAGACGTTTTAGAAGACTATATTAAAAGATTAAAAATTGATACATGCAGAGCAGAACCCATACGGATAGCTTCCTTCCTTGGTACCTGCTATGCAAATTAAGGGAGGTTTCAATATCAGTTTGTAAATGAAAGCTCAGAAAATAATAAGCTGCCACAACAAGCCTGAAGTAGCCAGATCAGTATATTTCAAAACAGAAGAAACCACCGTGGAAACAGTGTCAGAGTTCAAAGGAACAGCTAGTCAAGCCCAGTAACACCTTACGGATCAAGATTTGGGGGGTATACGCTTTCGAGAGTCAAGACTTCCTTTGTCAGGTATGTGATGAAGAGAGCCCTGACTCTCAAAAGTTTATACCCCAAAGTCAGGTTGGTCTCCAAGGTGTTATGGGGCTTGAATCTTGCTGTTCTACTGCGGACCAACAGGGCTACCCTCTGAAACTAGTGTTCAAAGGAAAGGTCTGAATTGCACTTAATTAGAATGGGCTCTTTGCTCCTTTGGTGTCCAGCACAAAAGAAAGCTTGCTGCTTGAACAAAGCCTTTCGTATCCCGTCAATCCAGAACTGGTTTTTCAAATTCAGATACTGCATATACACAGATACTATGGGGAGAACTGTCAAATCCAAAGGTCACTAGGCATTAATCAAATTAAAGTCACCAAGTATCAATCTCAGGACACTTAAATCATGAATAAATATAAATGTTTACTTACTCAAAGGTGTTAACTACAAGGTAACATGAATATCATTACGTCTTCCCACGCATGTATGAATCATGCCAAGAATTACTAAAACATGAGAATGCCTTGCCATAATATTACAGAAATGCTGGTACTTCTAATATTCACATTTTTTTCCGGCAAGCCTGGGGGTTCCCCGAGGTTTGTATAAAAACCTACTGTAACTAGACCACAGCGTGCACATTTTTTGACCCGCACTCTGAGGCCCAGACTCAGCATTAGATCCCTGATATATTAGAGAAGCAGAGAAATTTCAAAGCATCAGTTAGACCTTTGGGACCAGTCCCAAACGATCTTACTATTATTTCATGTTTGTTAAAACTGAAAGAAATATGGTGGTAATACATTTTTAAAAATCACTTTAAATGCCAATAGTAAACAAAGGGTTTTTAACTCTCACCATGCCATCAGTACTATGAAACTTGATATCCAGGTTAGACAGACCCTCAATATTCCCAGTTTGTGTTTTAATATGAATCCCTCGTGGAGCATCCATGCTGAGAGACCGAGTTGGAGATTCTAGCCTGAAAGTAGTTAGAAAAAAGTAACACCTCAGGAAAAGAAGATGAGCACGTCAGTAAAAGAGATTCTTACTTCATTAATTTCTGTCCTTGTGGATAGGAGATCATTCTCTGAGTGGTTTATATCCCATCTGGGAATGAAAGGCATGGCAAAAACCATTTCCTAGGAGGTGGGACCTCCAAAAAAGCCAGTAGGGAAACCCTATTCAACAGAAACTGTGTCCTCTGTATACTGAAGTTTAGAGGCAAGGGAGCCTAACCTGCTTAAACTGAAAAAATGCAATGCAAGAACACACTGATACCAAGAACTGTGACTGGTGGGGAAAAGCCCTCTGTATTCATACAACTTTATGAGGTGGGCATATGGATCCACAAGTCCTCAGGGAAGGATTTTCTCCCCTTTTGAATTTTTTTTTTTTTTTTGCCATCAAGTTGCAACTGATTTGTGGCAACCCTAGGCAAGAGACATTCAGAGGTGGTTTGCCATTGGCTGTCTCTGTGTAACCACCCTGGTATTCCTTGGGAGGTCCGGCTATTCTCATCTAGGGCCAGGGCCTTTTTGGTCTTGGCCTCGACCTAGTGGAACTCTCTGCGAAATAACATTGGGGCCCTGTGGGATCTGATGCAATTCCACAGAGCCTGTAAGGCAAAGATGTTCCACCAGGCTTTTAGCTGAGGGCAGCCATGGTGAAGACTGGCACCCTCCTTTTCTACCTTTGGCCCCGCATCCCCTTCCCTGCTGCACAGAAAGCACAGCAGCTGGCAAAAGGGGGCTGATCGCCATCTGAACTGGTTGTTTTATTAGTATACTGTAATAATTTTATTGTGTTGATTATATTTTATTTGTTTTAAGGCTGTAAATCGCCCAGAGCCCACTTGCGGGGCTGGGAGATTCAAAAATCTAATAAATAAAAAATAAATAAAAATAAATTTATGCATCTGTGAAGTCTAAAGAGGGAAGTAACTCTCCTTGGTTAAGGCTCACTACAATTAATATCAAGATTAGGGTTAGCATTTTGAAATGGTTCTTCTCCAAGTATGTGTTGACCCTTTTGAAGACAAATGTTACTCTGGTCCCCTGACTTCTTCAAGACAGTGAAGTCAGAAAACACTTCTAAAAACATTCTCCTGGTGCTGTCATGTATAATTCCTACAGGTATAATATTGTCTTGGAAATATGAAGGTATTTCTTTCTTTCTTTTTTTTGCAACGATTGTGTGTGCGTGTATGCCTGGAAGCCATGGTTGACATCTGGTAACCCCTAGTGGTGCTTGGATGTTGCGGAGAGGTGGCTTACTATTGCCTGCCTCTGTGTCCCAGCCTTGGTATTCCTTGGGGGTCTCCCTTCCAAGTGCTTGCCAGGGTCAGCCCTGCTTAGCTTCAAAGATCGGGCTTGCCTAGGCTATCCAGGTCAGGGATGAGATATGAAGATATTTCTTTGGGTTGCTAAAGAGATGAGGTGGAAGAAAACCTCACAGACTCCAAGAGACCTCCATCTCTGATTGCATGCAATATCTATTTGGCTGAGGTTGACATCCCCCACAGATTTGTGAAAGCTCACCTTTACTGCGATCAAGGGGTCCAGCAGTTACTGAAAGGCATGAATATTTGTAAGAAGGAGGGCTTCATCCCAGAATGCTGATTTCCAAAGCTTGACTTGGAGGTATTTTTTGCCACCTTCATTTCTAGTTTCTCTTGCTGTATAGGGTTTGTGCCTCAGTGTTAGAGCATCTGCTTGGCATGCAGAAGGTCCCAGGTTCAATCCCTGGCATCTCCAGTTGAAATGACCAGTTAGTAGGTCATGTGAGAGACCTCCCCCTGAGACCCTGGAGAGCTGCTGCCAGTCTGAGTAGACAACACTGACCTAGATAGACAAATAGTCTGATATGGCAGCCTCATGTATGATGATGGAACGAAAGGACTTCCTGTTATCTATGGGAGAATATGTGGTATTCAGTGCAAGAGCTAATGTTTTGAACAGTGCTGACTCCCAAGTAAATATTTGGAATTATAGCCTGGCAACAGATTCCTACAGAGGGCAATGATGTCTCCTTGTTCAGCAGTTTAAGATTTTAAATTTGGGGTGGGGAGGGATCACCAGTTTAAGATGACTCATTCTGTAGAGATAGTTATGTAAATGATCTTGTAGTCTAAATGTATCTGAAAAAGAGAGAAGGAACCCTAGCAATACTGCTAATTCTGTTCACTGAAAGAATTCCTCAGATAAATTAATCAGTTCACCAAGCCTTATAAATCAAGTATTTGCTGCAAGAAAGAAAGCTTTGAAAATCTGTAGTGCCACAAGATGGCAGAAAAGGACTACAGATCTTTCAGTCTGTTTGCACTGCAGGCCTAGTGCACGTTCAAAATACAACAGAAAGCCAGCTTTTGTGTTTTAAGACCCACTGATATCGGCAGAAACAAAATACAACAGAAAGCCAGCTTTTGTGTATTAAGACACCGATATCAGCAGAAACATTAAGATCATGCTTAAATTTTAACAGGATTTCTTTCCTGAATTTGGAAGCAGTAACTTCTACAACTAGCATTTTCTGTTTACAGATTCAAAAATGGTTTGCGTTTGCTGTTACACAAGGAATTAACTCATACTAGGTATTTTCTTTTTTGAAGATTATCACATTCCTATTTTGTATTGATTCTGGCCGGAATCCAGAGAAATCTGTTTGCACATCCAGGCCCAAGACTCACATTGCAGCATAATTGGCTAGAATAATTGGACAGGGTGTGTGCATGGGACTGGTTTGCATTCCAGACAACTCCAAAATGAGTTCACTGTTACTCAGCTTATGTTTTATGACTGAAATTTATTGATTTTAAAAATCTGTACATATGCAAAGTATGTCCATAAAGTTCATTATATGCCTTTAAATGGAAACTGCCATTTGTCAACAGCAGAAAAGAGGTTATCCTTTATGTTTAGGGCACCTCTGCAGGCTGAAAGTATGTAATTTCAGATACTCGTGAGGGGCAGCATGAGCATCATATGCATGCATTTAGGCATACCAAGCATCCATTTCCAGCAGGTGAACTTTTGCTGCCGTGCTCACTTCCTGCTGCCACTGATTTCATGGTGGAATCTAACCTGGGAGTGTTACAGTGTTACACTGTAAATTTACAGTGATGTAACTTTCAAGTTATGCTCCTGGAGTCCCCCTAACCTCTATAGTTTTACCATAGTGATTTCGAGGGATTCCTAGAGTGTAATCTGGAAATTATATCATTCCCATGTCAGATGTTGCCATCTTGAGGCCCCACAGCAGAAATCTCCCAGGGGTTGTAGGAAGAGGCCTGGCATCCCTATAGGCATTGCATGAACTATGCACATTAAACAGAAGCAGGTTTGCATAAGCAAAGCTGCCTTTAGTTGAACACAAAGACTGCAAGGAGTCCAAATGGCCAAGAGGAGCTCATTCAGTCCCTCCTAACTTACTAGAGTGCAATCCTAAGCAGAGTTACATCCTTCACATCCATTGAAATAATTGTTTAGGATGGCATTGTAAATTAAATGGTTGGTTTTTTTTAAATGACCAGTACAATGAGCGATGTGGGAGTGATCCTCCTTCTCCTTCTGTTTCTTGGACATTTCCACAACAAACCCTTTCTTAATAAATCATGAAAACCAACAATAGCCTAAAACTCAAAAGATCAGGCAAGAGAAAGGGTTTTGTGTGAGCTTTATGCTCTGATGTTCTACTAGAAATTAGTCACTTGAGCCCTACAATGACTGTCCCAATACACACGAGAGAAATAGTCCAAAGCATGAGGCTGACCTGCCATACAGCTGCTTCACCCTTGACACAAAAAGCCCTGAGAATACTGGGATATGAAGCTTTGGTCACAGTCTAGCTTTGCAGTGTTTCTGAATTTCAGCAGAAAACTTTGAAACAGCAGGAGCGTAACATTTAGAGGTACATTTATCGATTCAGACAAAAGCCCTCTAACCTCACATTGTCCACTAAAGTCCCATGCTCTGTGGGCAGAACTAGACTTAATGGCAAATGTAGGTTTGTCACTGAGATGGTAACTTTACCCCACGTTATGAATGCCTGAAGCTGCCTTATCCTGAATCAGATCATTGGTCCATCAAGGTCAATATTGTCAGTATTATCTGTTCAAACTGGCAGTGGCTTTCCAGAGTCTCAGGTGTAGTTCTTTCATATTATCTAAAAGCAGAGCTTTTTAGCTGGAGATGCCAGGAACTGAACACAGGACCTTCTGCATTCCAAGTAGATGCTCTACCACGGAGTCACAGTATTTTACTTCTTCTGATTATAGAAATGTCTGACATGATGACACCGTACCCCATCTGTGCCAGTCAATGATGCAGTGTGAGTGCACAGCGATTCGCAACATATGATCTTAATCAGGGCTATTTTTGGGCAGGAACGCACAGGAACGGAGTTCCGGTTGGCTTCAGAGTTGGCCATGCCTACTATAACCAAAACCTATGCATGCCTGGCTACAGAGGGAAGGCCTGGAGAGCGCCCCCCGGGGCCCCCCCCCCCCCCCGCGGTGACTCTGAGGCAGGCGGGCCAGGGGGGCCCCTGGAAGGATCGGGGAGGCATTTAAATGCTTCCCGGCCTGACCAAAGGGCCGGCTTGCCCGGGCTCCCTGCAGCCACGGGGTGCCCAGAAAAGCCAAGGGAATGCATGGGGTGTGGCTTAATATGCTAATGAGTTGTGCTGTTGGTGTGTGGCCTAATATGCTAATGAGTTCCTGCTGGGCTTTTTCTACAAAAAAGGCCCTGGTCTTAATACTATACATTATCAGCAGGTGAGATAAGCTATTGCTATTTTCAGCAGCAAATCCACATTTTGTTGTCCTCTCCAGTAGCACCAAACAGAATCCCTCTAGTACCTTAAAACAATCCTAAATTGTCTTGTATGTTTATACAGATATTCCGATTTTCCATTGACCACCTTGAATTGATAATAATAAGACTCCAAAAAATTAACCAATACCTATTAGTGATTTTAAAGGCTAACTAAGGTTCTGGTCACCACACCTTAAAAAGGATATTATAGCTTTGGAAAAAGTGCAGAAAAGGGCAACTCGAATGATAAAAGGGTTGGAATACTTTCCCTATGAGGAAAGGTTAAAGCGCTTAGGGCTCTTTAGCTTGGAGAAATGATGACTGAGGGGTGACATGATTGAGGTTTATAATATTATGCATGGGATGGAGCAGGTAGAGAAAGAGGTACTTTTCTCCCTTTCTCACAATACAAGAATTCATGGGCACTCAATGAAATTGCTGAGCGGTCGGGTTAGAACGGATAAAAGGAAGTACTTCTTCACCCAAAGAGTGATTAACACATGGAATTCACTGCCACAGGCAGTGGTGGCAGCTACAAGCATGGATGGCTTCAAAAGGAAATTAGATAAGCATACAGAGCAGAGGTCCATCAGTGGCTATTAGCCACAAGGTATAGATAGGGGCTCTGGGGCAAGTGATGCTCTGTCTTCTTGGTGCTTGGGGGGGGGGTCAACAGTGGGATGGCTTCTAATGTCCCGGCCCCACTGGTGGACCTCCTGATGGCACTGGTATTTCTGGCCACTGTGTGACACAGAGTGTTGGACTGGATGGGCCTTTGGCCTGATCCAACATTGGTGAATCTTATGTTCTTATGTAACTAGTTCTCGTGTTGTACTATGAAGAGCAGAAAGTGAGATGAAATATTAGGAATCCCTCGTGGAACATAGCAATGCTTCTCAGGTTTATCACTGACCTGTCTTATTATAATAAGTTGATTAAACGGATTCAGAAGCCTTTAGCTGAACACAATTGACAATATTTCAAATTAAATGTTCACCATTATACATCTATTTATTTTCTTCATTTATACCCCTCCTTTCTCCCCAACAGGGCCCAAAAAAGCCTTATATTTTCCTCCTGTCCTCCAGTAGGTTAGGCTGAGAGTATGTGACTGGCACAAGGTCACCCAATAAGCCTCCATGGGTGGAATGGGGAGGCTTCTAGTCCAGAACCTAATAAAAACAATTCAGTGCTATAATTTACAGAGAGCTTTTGCATTTTCAAAATGCTTTGCTTACATTATTTTATTCTACTCCTTACAACAGTCCCATAGAGTGGGACAGTATTATTTCCATATTGCAGATGTATTTGAGGTGCTGAGGCTGAGAGGCTGTCTCGTGAGTTGATGGCAGAGGTCAGATGTAAAATGGAGACTTCCTGATTTGTATTTCTGTCTCTCAGCCACTACGTGTCACTTGGTTATACTAAACGGACGTGGCTAACACAGCCCATGGGCGACTGGCTGGATGTTCTGTATGATATAACAGGTGTAGATATTTCTGACACATACTCTTACCTAAGCTCTCTATTAAAATCTTCTGCTCTGACAAGTGGTGTTTCCACAGAATGTTCACAAAGAGCCCCTTCTGGCCCTGAAATGTAGGAATAAAATATTACAGAAAACATATACATACTCAGTCACGAGGTGTCAAAGACAGCAGATTGTCTAACCTTTCTCTCCAATAGCCAACTGTTCTAACTCAGGGCTTGGATCCAAGAAAGCATTCCCATGGACAGAACAATTTCTATCCATGGAGCACAATGTTCTTGCTCCCCCCCCCCAATCTTCTTCACATGGTACCAATTTCTTATTTCTAAGGCACTTCCGTCAAGAATTAACAGTAAAAGTATGCAGAGGTTGTAAATGTGTGATATCCATATGCATGGGTTTCCTGCTACATGTACACTTGATATACCATGTTGGGAAGTTTCTACCAGTCATGGCTTTCCAGTCCATTTAAATATAATGAAAAATCCACACTTAGGATTGTCACATATAAGAATAATATTCAAATCATATGTTAATTTGGATGTTCTGGATTCCCAGAAGCTCTGCTCCTAAAGTTCTTAGGATGGGACACAGAACAGCTATACCAATGCAAAGACGCAAAGCATAGGGAGATATTCTGGTGCAGATTAAGTCTGAGGCGCTAAGTATCTTTCCTATGGATGGCAGCTAGCTTACTGATGTTTAATTAAGTAATAGTCATGCTGCTATTACCATCTACTTCATCATATTAAAACAAGTACTTCCATACATCAACACAGATTTTAATTCTAAGGACATTTAATGACTAACTAAATTACAATAAAATAAGAACCAGCACATATCCCCGAAAATGTCATGTTACGTTTATGAGCACTGTATTGGTTATATAATAAATACTGATTGCCTGTTGCCTGCAGTAGCAATTGTACTTTACTTTCAGAAAGAAGTCTTTACTACTTCCTAAAGAAATGTTGTGCTGTTTAGTAGACTTGCATGCAAACCTGTGACTCGAAGTTTATCTGTACCGATGGCAACTTCACTTTCATTCACGGTAAAAAGAGTCTTTCCATCCAAATTCATGGAGTTGATCTGAAATTGCTGACCATGGACTTCTACCATGTCAGGACCTAGAAAGCATATTGAAAATAACAAGGGAACACTGATCATTTATATCTTCTTCACCTACAAATGTGCCTTGCCAACAAGATGATAATATTCTAAATTTACATGCATATTTGCTCATACTCTGAATTTCCTGATTTAATTAGGGCTGTGGTGGCTCAAGTGGTTAAGACGCTGAACTGCAGACCGGAAGGTCAGTAGTTCAGCAGTTCGAGACCCGAGTGCCGCAAGATGGAGTGAGCTCCCGTCTCTGGTCCCAGCTCCTGCCAACCTAGCAGTTCGAAAACAAGAAATTGCAAGTAGATAAATAGGTACCACTTTAGTGGGAAGGTAACAGTGTTCCGTATGCCTTGTCATCTAGTCATGACGGCCTCATGACCACGGAAACATCTTTGGACAGCAACGGAGATGAGCACCGCATCCCTAGAGTCGGATTTGACTGGTTTTCGAGCAAGGGAAACCTTTCCCTTTACCTTACTAGAATACCAACTGGCAAAGAAAAATAGTTTGGGAATTATTTATTCTGTATCCTGTACACAAAAATGTATGTGTGCAGCTGAACTGTGTGTATGGGAAGAGAGGGATGGATACATTCCCTTATTTCTATGGTAATATTCCAGGTTTCTTAATAACCCCCTATGACACCCCCATCCACCTCTCCCCCAGAGGCAAGATTTCCCCTCTGTTTTTCATTCCTTTTTGTGACTGAGCTGTCCTAGTTTTCTGTTTTCTTCTCTCCTGAAGAATTCTGGCTGTCCCACCCTGTCACAGTATAATATTTTGGCTGAACCCGAGAGAAGGAATGGGAGCCCCCTTTAACTTATATGACTTAAATGGCACTTGAGAAGTTTTTATATTCCAAATTAACAAAATATTTTATTTAACATAAAGGGGAAAGGGTCAGGTGAAATCAGGGGTAAACGACATTTTCATGGACTGTTTTAGTTTCCAGAAGGTTGGTACACTCTTTCCAGCACCCAAAACCCTTCTCTTGAAACACCAGTACTTGTCTTGAGTTTTTAACTGACTCTTAAGGTCTCTAAAGGCAGTGTCTAACCACACCAGACCAGAGCTACTCTTCAGAGCTAACTCCCTGTTTGACTGGGTAGGGAAATTCTCCTCTCACTAGAAGATCTAGCCCCTTTCCTTGGCCCAAATGTCTTTACCTACTTCCCACACTTTTTTTTGCCAGCTTTCCCCCAGTTCTCCAACTGTGTTAAACTGCTCTTGGCTAAGGCTGAAATCAGACTCAACTCAACCCAGGCAGAAATCCGACTGCATTCTCCTCAGCATCCAGTTCAGAAGTCTTTCTCCGCTCAGCTGATGCTAACCAATCAGAACTCTTGGAACAGCCTTTCACTCAACAATTAACCCTTCACAGTCCTTTACCTGTTGATACAACACTTCTAAGCTTTTAAAAATGCAGTCCGTCACACCCCCTTAATAGTTACATAACGTATATATTTCTCAGTGTCCATGTATCACACATAACATATGAAAATGGGTGTCTATATTGGGCATTGGTGTGCATATTAACTCTGAGAATTAAACTGCTTGGGAAAGACTGAAAGGCTAGAGTCAGAAGGATAAAGGCAAAAAATCCAGCTTTTGATTCTTCTGGGAGTAAAGGCAGAAATACCAAGTGCTTTGCTGCCAACCTGCATGGGTTTAATCTGAGTATCCAAGGTACTTGCACTCTGGACTGGACAGGCTGTCACACAACAATTCATGTAACTCTGCATATTCAAAGCTTTCAAATGCAAATAGAAGAAACATAGATGATACCTACCTACACTTAATCTGCCTGTGACATTGCCATCAGAATTGCGCGCATTTAGAGTAACGTTATGAGTAGATTGTAAAAGCAGTGACGAGTCCTGGAGTATGAAGAAGAGGTGGAAATATTAGATGCCTCACAGATAGCCTATGGTAGGTTTTGGCTGTGTTCTTGAGCTTCTTTGCTGTGCGCTCTGGAATCCCTGAGCATGTATGGTGTGCTCTTCCCATCACCCTTTGCCATTTATGTTCTTTAGTTTCCCTGCAGCACTGCACTTCTGACATTTTCATCCCCCACCCCCACGTACACCTCCACTACTTAACTGTGTCTATTTTGTCTGTTTTAAATTAAACTATCTGCTCTTTCATTGCCAGCAGAGCCCACTACAAGGTTTATCACAGGATCATGCTTGGCTCTGGCCCCTGAATATTTCATCCCACCTCACAAGAAGCAGGGTGGGATGGAATCTGGCTAATTTACTAGCAGGTCCAATTAATTCTTGCTAGAATGAAGAGAGGGGAAAGGAGGGGGAGAGAAATTCTACAGGGGTAGCCACCATGCTAATGTGCTGCAGCAAAGAAAACCCCAGCAACAAACAAAAAACAAACAGCATCTTGTGGCATCTTAGAGGTGAACAAAGCTACTGTGGCTTTTGTGCACCCATTTCATCAGATGTATGAAGGAAACACTCATATATGCCTCACACTCATATACTACAATGAGTTCTGAGCAGCTGGGGAAAAAATCACATGACACAGGATTCATTGTAGGCATTACTTTTGAGTTCAGTTCCAGATAAAATACATTGCTGAGTTAGCCTATATAACATAAAGCTTTTATCAGTCAGAAATATTCTCTCCATGGAGGAAGTCTTTCTCTATTGAAGGAAGACTTTGTGGAAGAATGTCAGATAATTCAACTTAGCATAAAGGAGTGATAGGGTTCGATGTAGACTAAATTCTACCAATTCCCCTGTCCTACCACAGACATACCCCCATGTCATTCTTTTCTCACCAGGACCAGCATTTTGTGGCAATCAGTGGGCCACAGTAGGAGGGGGGAAGGCAGGAAAGTTACATTCTACTACTGGAACATTTAGTCTGGATCCATCCCATAGCATCCCATCCAAAGTCTGCCCATGATCATTTTTGACATGTAAACAGTATTCCTTATTAACTGACCCTTGGATTTTCCTAATTTATGGTCTACTCCTTCAGAAGTAAGTACCAGTGAATTCAGTGGGGCCTGTTCCTATCTATGTGTGCACAATATTGCTGTCTTTCTTACCTTTCTAGAGTGAACTTCTTTGGCATACAAAGGATATAAAAATTCTGACTCTCCCTCTAGACGAACTCCTTCACTTTCAACATATAGGTATCCCATTCCAATCTGCAATAATAAAAAAATCTTGTATCCTCTCTCTGCACTATATTTCTTACTGAAATGATTACAAAACTCTTAGATGACCAAAACTGCTGCCTTCTTGTAATGGGTTTCTGAAGAAAACATCACACTGTTACATGGCTAGGGATCATTACGATTTTACTCAGGTTGTACCTAGACATCTTACACTGTCCACAAATCCACAAATGGTAGTTTTCATTTAACATTTGGTCAGATATTCAGGAACTTACATGGATCTTTCCCAAAAGTGTTTAGACTGTGACTGTTTAAATTGTTTTTTTATGTCTCCCATGACTGACTGTAAAGTGCCTGGAATACAAGTAGAGCAGTATGTACACTTTAAGAGAAATAAATTGGATTTACTACTAAATATGCATGACTGAAATGAACATGATTAAGAGAAAAGTATACTTACTGGAGAAAACCACATCACTTTAAGAATCCAAATCATCAGAGCAAAGTTCACTACTAGGATTATGATCAGGAGGAGGACAAATAGATAAAGGCAACGCTTTCTCCAGCCATAAATGCCAACATTGTAGATATATTGAGTTTCTGGTCTTTCTAGGTTAGTACCTGGCGTAGTTGTTATATACTGTTCCCGTACCATCTGCAGAAGAAAGAAAACTAGATAATCATGAAGTTATGGGTTAGATCCAAAGTCCTTCACTGAGCAGAAAAGGTGATTCTGCTCACTCAAGGGAGGGGAATTTTCCTTCAGTCTCTCCTTTCCAATTGAGACTCCCACAATGCAAAGCCACACTGTCCCAAAGGGTAAGGTTGTTAGCTCTGGGTTGGGAAATTCCTGCTTTTCGGGTGGAGCCTGGGAAATGGTGGGGTTTGGGGAGGGAAGGGACTTCAGAATGGTAAAATGCTATAGAGATCAACCTCGAAGGAGCCGTTTTATCCCAGGTAACCACCTCTGTCAGCTCGAGACCAGATGTAAGTCTGGGAGATGTCTACCCACCATCTGGAGATTGGCAATCCTAATCAAGGGTCTACCAACTTCCAAGGAACATATTTTGAGAACCCTGGGTCTACAGTGGGAAGGGAAAGAATGGAAAGATTCATTTTGTGAATATCAGCCCACTCAGTTCTTATATTTAGAACCATTCGCAAAAGAATATAACAAATGGATATGAACACTGAAAATAATTTTTGCTAGTTTGTATTCGCAAATGGGGGGGGGGGGGAGGCCAGGCTTGATGGTGGACCGTTGCTGTCCTCAACCATAGGTCTGGTGGAACATCTCTGTCTTACAATTGCAGAATTGCAATAGGTTCTGCAGAGCCCTGATTCCATCAGCCAGAGAGTTCCTCCAGTACGGCACCAGGGCTAAGAAAGCCCTGGCTCTGGCTGAGGACAGCCGGATATCCATTGGGCCAGGGATCTCCAGGAAGTTCTTATCTCCACTGGGGGGGTGTACCAGGAAAGGTCGTCCCGTAGACATGCTGGTCCCAGACCGTTTAGGGCCTTAAAGGTCAGTACCAAAACCTTGAACCTGATCTGGTATTTGACTTGTGTATGACTTAGGCACTTTTATTTAATTCTTTACAAACCATTCCAATTCCCTACATTTTGGGCACTGCAATTCCCACAATCAGCATGAAGCTGGTGGCCAATTTCAAGCTTTGCTTTCTGATGGGCTATGCCCTGATCTAGCTAGCTAATCCTGGCAGATCTTGGAAGCTAAGCAGGATCAGCAACGCAGAGGTAGGCAATGGCAAACAACTTCTGAACATCTCTTGCCTTGAAAATACCATGGGGCTGCCCTAAGTCGGCTAGGACTTGACAGCAAAAAAAATAACGCCTACCACAAACAGACAACCGTCACGTCCATTACAAATAGCACAGATTTTGGCACTGAAACGCCTGTGATAATCTTGAATCTGGTGGCCAGTAATGAGACTTTATTTTTGATGAATTATTCAACATAGATGTTGAAGCTAGGCTTCAACAGTACGTGGATAGAGAACTGCCAGAAGTACAAGCTGGGTTTCGAAGAGGTAGAGGAACTAGAGATCAAATTGCCAACATTCGCTGGATTATGGAGAAAGCAAGAGAGTACCAGAAAAACATCTACTTCTGCTTCATTGACTATGCTAAAGCCTTTGACTGTGTGGATCACAACAAACTATGGCAGGTCCTTAAAGAGATGGGAGTACCAGACCACCTCACATGTCTCTTGAGAAACCTGTATAAGGGCCAAGAAGCAACAGTTAGAACCGGATATGGAACAACTGATTGGTTCAGCATAGGAAAAGGAGTACAACAAGGATGTATATTGTCACCTTGCTTATTTAATATATATGCAGAGTACATCATGCGAAATGCTGGCCTGGATGAATCACAAGCGGGAATTAAGATTGCTGGGGAAAAGATCAACAACCTCAGATATGCAGACGATACCACTCTAATGGCAGAAAGTGAAGAGGACCTAAAGAGCCTCTTGCTCAGGGTAAAAGAGGAGAGCGCAAAAGTGGGCTTGAAGCTCAACATCAAAAAAACTAAGATCGGAAAGCGATGGCGAACCTCAACAGCATGATAAAAAGTAGAGACATCACCCTGCCAACAAAAGTCTGCATGGTCCAAGCAATGGTATTCCCAGTAGTCATGTATGGCTGCGAGAGTTGGACTATAAGGAAGGCCGAGCGCCGAAGAATAGATTCTTTTGAACTATGGTGCTGGAGAAGACTCTTGAGAGTTCCTTGGACTGCAAGGAGATCAAATCAGTCAATCCTCAAAGAAATCAACCCTGACTGTTCCCTGGAAGGCCAGATAATGAAACTGAAGCTCAAATACTTTGGCCACCAAATGAGAAGGGAGCACTCACTGGAGAAGACCCTGATGCTGGGAAAGATTGAAGGTCAAAGAAGACGGGGACGGCAAAGGATGAGATGGTTAGACAGTGTCATAGATGCAACGAACATGAAGTTGAGCAAACTTCAGAGGACGGCGGAAGACTGGAGGGCCTGGCGTGATCTGGTCCATGGGGTCGCGAAGAGTCGGACTCGACTGTGCGACTGAACAACAACATGCCTGCCACGACTGGACAGATGGAGAGAAGAAGAAGAGAGATTGGATTTATACCTCGCCCTTCACTCGGAGTCTCAGAGTGGCTTACAAACTCCTTTCCCTCCCCCTCCCCACAACAGACACCCTGTGAGGTAGGTGGGGCTGAGAGAGCTCTTTCCAGAACTGTCCTTGGGATAACAGCCTGCCCAGGGTCATCCAGCAGGTGCAAGTGGAAGAGTGGGGAATCAAACCCGGTTCTCCCAGATTAGAGTCCGCGCACTTAACCACTACACCAAACAGACAGACACACACAAACTTTTACTATTATAAATACTGAAAGTTATATATGTAACATATGGGCTGGATTTTAAAAAATGGTGAGCCGCTTATTTAACTGATCATTCTTACTTTCCCCTATATTTGGCAGCCTCTGTGCCACTCAAAAAGCTGCTCCTCAAGGTCAGGGGGACCCACACGGGAATAATACTACATGAGGAGAGCTGCCGCTTGGCTGGGATTGCTGTGGAAATCATGGGCTGATAATGCCCCTTCAAAACCATTCTTGGATCCAACCCAATGGCTTCTATCCCCCAGAGTTTCTTCTGAAGGTGGAAGGATTTCTGCTTCTGAAATGCAACCTTTTTGCCTCCCCTTCCCACTACAGCCTGTAATGTCCCCCCCCCCCAAATCCTGTTCCTGGGGATCCCCTCTCTCCCCCAGGAACAATATTGGGGGAGGCATTTCAGGCGGCTGCAGGAGAGGGGAGGTGAGACTGCTGTACTCCACCAGTGGAAACCCTTCTGGCTGCAGATGAACTCTGAGGGACCTAAAGCACTGTGCTGTTTAGTAAGTGAAAGTTTACAATATTATTTGGCAATATCACACAATCTGGCTTACTTTTAAAGTTGGACATGATTAAAAGTAGATTTCTAGCTACTGAGAAGTGGGTAGACTTGACAACATGTTTCTTTAATGACCAACTAAGAAAATAGTCGGGCAACATAGCTGGTTAATAATAGTAGCAGCAGCTGTTAAACAGTTTGAATTAATAACAGTAGACCTTCCCTTTACTATTTAAATTCTGTTCTGCTGTGCTATCAGCGGCAGAGTACAAGAAAATAGGCTTTGAAAGCAAATGTTCAACGGCTTGAAAACAAATAAGGAAATAATTCTGTTTGGAAAGGGAAAGATGATATAAGGCATTTTTATATTTGTTCATTAAAGGAACTCATCCTTTCATTATCTATAATATGCTCTTTCATATGTCACACATTACAAATTTCTCGAAGAGTCAGGAAGGGAAATGTTGCCCTACAGGTTCCACACAGGTTC